CTCTTTAAGCTTCTGAACACTCTGCATGTGTACCAAAGTTATAGTACTGATTTTGGGTTACCAACGGATGTCTATGATAATTCAGTATGCAAATGGATAAATGTGAACAAAGAATCAATAACCTAACTATAACTTTATAATCATTGTTTTACTTATAGTTTTCACTAGATCTTCGCAAAATTTAAATAATATGAGCAATGCCAAACACTGAGAAATACCTGAAGACTTGATAACTAAAAGAAAATAGGTAGGATAACATATTCCAGAGCAAAGTACAAAATCTTATATTTCACATTTTATCTCACGAAATACTTATTGACAAGGGAGAGGGTGAAAGCTGCAGATCTGGGGGTTAAAAAAGGACAAACTTGAAATCTTAAAAGTAATAATCTAAGATCTACATATTAAGATACCTTCTTTGTAGATGTATCATCTCTTAGATAAGCTGGAGAATCTGAAGCAAGACGATAGTTAATACTTTCATATATATCCTCGAGAAAGTGTGCTGAGACAGGATGTGTTCGGCCTTGAGCAGTAATTACTGGGCAGTGACCAAAGTATCTTGAAAACAGATCTGAATCAACAGTTGCTGACCTGAACATTGGAGATATAGATAAACACACAAGCAAAACAAACTTCGCAATTATGAACGAACATATAGAATAAGCACTATTTATGAGCTGCAACCATACATAAGAATAACTTTCAATTTTGGGGTGCTATGAGCAGATTGCTTCTCAATCAGGTTCTTCAAAACAATGAGTAGAAAATCACCCTGTTACGAAAAACACAAACTTGTAAGATTGTCCCAAACCGATCTTCAATGGTTCTGTTATACCTTCTATATTTTGTAGCCAAAATAAATATGAAATATGAAAATATTACGTTAACAAAAAAACTACTTTGGTCAAAGTAAACCCTGTAATCGAGTGAACAGCAACCAAAGCCAATGATAACATTGCTTTAATTTATCAATGATCAATAATTTGATATCAATTGCTGTGATAAGTGCAAATAAATAAATAAATAAATCATATGAGAAACGACTCCCAAGGGCATATGGCTTACAGTTAAAAATACTATCAAATCATCAATCAAAAATTAAAATGAAAGTAATTCAAGACAGTTACTAGGAATAAGCAGGAATAAGCATCATGGCCGGCATGCCAAGATAATCTAATTTGTATGAAACCAAACATGATAATTTAAAAGCTATCAACGAACAAAAAGCTACAAAAGTTGATAGGTGGCACTTAAAGGTCATTATACCATACAATCGAAAATGCTATCATAAGAACATGATCATCTTATTCCCAAATTTCAGATTGCCAGGTTTTAGTTAGACCATGGAAAAATCTATCAACTTCTGGAATAAGCAGGTTTCACATGAAGAGTTGCTTAAAGATGACTAGAAACACCAACCTACTTCAACAATTAATTTAGGAAGAGGAGATGGAGGTGGAAAACTAGTAAAACAACTAACACTGATGGAAAGGAGATCAGACAACAAAATTTAGTTTCCTTTCCATCGAAATGGCCAAAATGTTTCTGCTTCCTAGAAAATCAACACAAATCATTGGAGGAAAAACAAAATTCCACCGTTTTCATCAAAACATGACAAAATGACCCGAAACTCATTGAAACCGAAACAATGATTTGTTCCAACACATATCAGGAATCTCAAACATAATTGTTACAATTTCCTTCTTTATGTCACTAAAAATAAAAATGTTTGAGAATAGAAAGACTTCCAAAATTGATTCATCCTCTAAGGATGTGCAGCTGCAGATGATGCTGGTATTCCGGCATCAGAAACTCCTTTTATGCAGTTAAAAAGCATGAGTTCCCTGCTAGAGCCATCAACTATTATTAAATAAAATGATGTATATTATTGATTGATGTATTGATGTTGTTGTATATTACAAATGGTGAGTGGCTCATTATATAGGAGAGGGTGAGTGTAGTAGGTGAGGAGTAGGTGAGGAGTAGGTAGTGGTAGGTGATGGTAAATTGGTGGTAGGTGATGGTAAATTCTAACAGCCCCCCGCAAACTCAAGGAGGATAGAAACTAACCAACTTGAGTTTGAAGAGAGGAACAAAACAAGAAAATACATAAAAATAAAAAAAGATAGGTGACACTGTATGGTCGTGTCAGACCATTGGTGAAGACACTGGATGGTGGTGTCATAACGTTGTAGAGGACACTGTATGGGGGTGTCATAACCATGTAGAGGACACTGTATGGGGTCATGTCGACGGTGTAGAGCAGACAATGTTGTGACAGTTGTTGTGACAGTTTACAGAGTCTTGCTGGACCCTTGTAGAAACTAACCGGAATCAATGTCGGACAGTTTAGCTTTACTGAGCTACGTCAATGTCGGGACGTTACGCGTCTGTCGACTGAAAAGTCGCACCCTCAAAAGTGTACTCCAATCTTTCAAAAGCGTTGCCATCAAAAGGCGTTGCATCAAAAAAGACGTGCCATCAAAAGGCGCGCCAAGTTGTCGGCGAGTACGAGGACGCATGAGCGCGTGTCCTGCCTCTTCGTCAGGGTCTTTATTAAACTAGGCTGAGGCTTGGGAAGCAGAGACAAAAAACCTGCTGATCAAAACTCTGAAAAACTCTTGTTTTCTGCAGAGAGATCCTGAGAGAGACACTCTGTTCGCGAGAGATATTCTTGTAACACTCTGAAAAATTCTTCGTTTTCTGAGAGAGATCCTGAGAGAGTCTTGTAACACTCTGTTGCGGAGAGATATTTCTGTAACACTCTAATTGCCCAAGAAAATGGCTCATCATTCCCGTGGTCTGCTCACTTCCTCTTTCGCAGACCTTAACGAGCCACAAGAGAAAGTACTGGTGCGGTGGGCCAGTGACCTCAACCAACCCTCTGTGTGTTACTCCATTGAAACTTCCGATGCGGTCCGGTGGAGCAAAAAAATGGCCTGGTGCAAACTGAATATTGAGGCCAATCAGTATACTCTGAAGTCATGCGTGGAACAACCATGACTTGCGGTTGCAAACTTGTCTCGAACCGGCTGCAGAGTAAGGCAAATGAGGTGCAGCAGTTTAAACTCCCAGCTGGCTCTCTGCTCCAACGCATGTATAGGATGCGCGAGCAGAGATAAGTGTGCTAAAAGGCGGAAAATAAGGAGCTTGAGCGGAAGGCCACCGTTATGTTCCGATTTGGAGGGCCGCCATATGCCTGCAGTGGAGGAGCCAGGGAGTAATGTGATCATGCCTAGTGGAGTGGGAAACACGGAGAACACCGTCCAAGGGCTGCCCAAGGACGGAGGCAAGAAGAAAGAGACCGGCGGCAGAGTAGAGCGAACCAATCTCCACTGTTCCAATTTGTGTTGGTTTGTTTTTTGTTTTGGTGTTTTTTTTTTTTTTTTTTTTTAATAATTTGTGCACTTCTACCTTTTTGTTGAAGTCGGTGTAAAAATGGTGATCGGGGTGAGCCCCGACATGAAAAAATAAGTTGGTGTGCAGTGGTCTTTTTTTTCTTTTTTTTTTTTTGTGGAAGAAGAATAATAAAAAGATAAGAATAAAAAGTATTAATGGAAAAGCAGGCTGGGGGGTGGAAGGTGTGGTGATGTCGTCGGTGCTGTAAAAGATTTTGAAATGATGGGATGAAAAAGAAAATTTATATATATATATATATATATTTTTATTATAATAAGATAATTAAACTTGACGAAAAGAAAAATATAATATTGCTTGCCAGCAAACGTGGCCGACAGCACATGGCTGCCAGCCTCCTTGACCACTTGTTTGCTGTTCAATGCTTATGTATTTAGTTATTTAGTTATGTTATCTGGGTTGCTTTTCAATTCTTATTTATTGTTTTTTTTTTTTTTTTGTGCAAAGAAATAATAATGAAAAAAAGATGAAAAATAAAGTGAAAGAAAAATAAAAAAGAAAGAAATAATAAGAACAGAATCACGTGGGTGGCTTGGCCCACCGTGTTGTGAAAACCGGCAATGGGTTTGGTATTTGTTGTGTTGTTTTGTTTTGTTTTGTTTTTTTTTTATTTCCATTTTATTTTACATTTATATCTCATTTTTTGAAAATCGTTGTGCATCTGGACTTACTGAATCCAAACCCATTAAGAAACAACCAAATAAAGCAATTTCTTAAAAAAAAGAAAAGCTGGGTTATGCTGGGAAGATCAGAGAGTTTCCTGTCCTGGTGCAATGCTTGGATCAATTCTTTTCTTTCTTCAAGGTATTCTGTACACATCACTCGAATGAAATCGGTGAGGACGCATGAAGGTAGGATCTTGGGCGGCTTGTAAAACGTGAGTTGGACCAACTCCCTCATCTTGTCAGGGGTCTGCGGCAACAATATGGTAGCAACCTCATCTATACTCTTGACCTTGAACATCCCATCTTCCATGTCCTTCTCCTCCATGCACACCCCAGCAGCTCCTATCACCAGCCGCTCCACCGCCTCCGGAAACTGCGCCGCCATGCTGTACCCAACAAATCCGCCATAGCTCAGTCCCACCACAAGCATGCTCCGCGCCACCCCGTATGCCTCCATGGCCCGCATGATGCTACGGGCCTGGAATGCCTCGGTCCTGTCGGGCAGGGTGGTGTAGGAGTCGCCAAAGAAGAGCAGGCCAGGGACGTAGACGTTGAATTTGGAGGAGAATCGAGATATGAACGGGTTCCACTGCCACATGGCGTTGATGCCGTGGATGAGGAGAAGAGTGGGCTTGTTGGGTTTGTGGGACTTGGGAGTCCAGAAGTGCATGACGGTGCCGTCACCGAGATCGGTGGTCACTGATTTGAGGCCTGCCTTGCCGAAGGAGTGCCTGTAGCGTTGGTTTTGCAACGCTGTCAAGCTTATACACTTGCCCATTCTGTACAAATATTCAATCACCAGACCAGACAGACTCTTTGCAAATTAATGATGAGATCTTGGAATCAAACAACAATTTGTGACTCAAAATTGGGTCTGGATTTCTAGTGATTTGAGATCCGGCGGACGGTCAAGGCAAGGTTGCCGCCCGCCGGAAGGCGAAGAACACCAAGATCTTTAACCTTGCTCTGATACCATATTAAATAAAATGATGTATATTATTGATTGATGTATTGATGTTGTTGTATATTACAAATGGTGAGTGGCTCATTATATAGGAGAGGGTGAGTGTAGTAGGTGAGGAGTAGGTGAGGAGTAGGTGGTGGTAGGTGATGGTAAATTGGTGGTAGGTGATGGTAAATTCTAACAACTATGTACTATCTACTGATCAATTAGTCTTATTACACTAGTCCCTTTTTTTTTAATAATAAGAAAAGATTCACTGAACTGAGAGAAGCAAACCAAACAATTAGATCATAATGGAAAATAAATAAATAAATAAAAGAAAAGGAGACAAATAAAAGCCTAATTTCTCAACAACAACAAAAACAAAAGACAACCAAGTAACAAACCACAAAGGGTTAAGTATCTTTGGAAAGTCACATCCCAAGAAGCTCCTCTCTCAGCTAGACAATCTTCTCACCATTCATAACATAGACCACCTCCAACCTCATAGACAAGCCAATGATCTCTGGCATACACTGCAAACAATTTGCAAGTGCAACGCATTCCTTCTCAGGGCTGATAAACTAACATACAAGCATCTTTCAAATAAGGAGGTTACAGTATCACGATCACTAGGACACTCCAAAAAGCACAAACGTCAGCTCAAACAACTTAGGCCTACCAATACAGCATTGAGAAGCATACATAAACATTGAGACTCCTCAAAATAGTCCCAAAGTTCGGTAAATAACACCTATCAGAATTAAAAACTTTACTTAGCTCTCCTCTCCTCTCCTCTCCTCCCATTTTCTCCAACCAAGCAGATAATGATAATAAATACTACAACAACAACAATGATGATGATGATCTGCCAAACGCAGAAGTCTAAATAAATATAGATGTGGGGAAGACAAAGGGACCACAACCAATCTGCAGCCCTCAACCTTCTACAAGTCAGAGACAAAGGGAATCACTGAAAGTACTTGGCAATGGAAAGGTGAAAAGAGAACATTTACTACTCTCCCCCAAAACCAACCTCCCCAAAATTATAAGAGTAGTTTGTGCTGCTACCATTATCCTTTAAAATTATAGTTTTTCCAGCTCAACCAAAAAAATTCAGGCCACTTAAGCTAGCAAAAAAAACGTTATTCTTTTGCAGGCCTGCCAGCTATGCTGCTCTGTGGAAGGCTTGTATCACCTAACATTACACTCAACGTGCTGCCACCTAATGAGTGAAAAAGGTAAAGTTGGAGGCTATACAACTAGATAATCTCAAAGTGACATAATAATGTACAGGTGATTCAATTTGTCAATAGTCTCATACTTTTTTGTGAACAATAATGACGAATGAGGATAAGTAAACCGGATCAAATTTGTGGAATGGAGAGGGTGTAAAATTACTTATAGTGCTACCAAAGAGTTGCAGAAGTGACAAACCACAGCAACAGAGTCTAAAAAATTTAACAGTGATACTGCTATTTATGGAATCTGTGAGAAATTATAATTTACCACCTACACTCTAACTCACCAGAAGAGAACGTTCATGCACTTCATCAACTATGACGTGAGTAACTCCAGCCAAGTCTTTGTCCCCCTGCAAGTTGAGATTTCATAAAAACGAGGCTGAGTAATAATGTGCGTCTCTTGGGCATTATATGATTTAAGGAAAGAAAAAATTATCCATGAAAATTCATGCTTACTTCTGAAAGAAATTAAAGCTTTAGAAAAATCAACCAATGGTAACTAAAGATTTTAAATTCATCTCTAACACACAAGACATGAACAAATAATAACATGATATAAGCCATGGTCATATCCTTCTTAAAAGGATTTTCAATTCATTGCTTCAATGACTATGACAATCACAATAAATAAAGTAGTTTGTAACCAAAGTAAAATGGCAAAACCAACCTTAAACACGATCACTTCTTCACAAGGTCATCGCATGGGATATCATGTGATGCAATGATTGTGTAAAACAAAAACAAAAGAAAAATCATGCATTTCACTTAGTCTGTTTCCACATACAAATGACTCAACATTAAAACCCTTTGTCAACCATAAAAACTCCATTAATAATCAAAGCTTATGATGGTTACTAGAAGTTCTCCAACTTGGCAACACAGAAGGAGACAGCATATAGCTTCATCCTCTCTCTCTTCATAGTGAAAAGCAAGCACTTGAAGAAAAAGACGATAAAACAACTCAGCATGCTATAAAGTTTGAGAAAACCTTTTTCCTCCATTGTAGGACATGCCAAAACCAACTTTGTGTAACAAATAAATCAGTAGATGAAAAGTTACCAAAAAAACTAGAAGAAAAAAAAAACTGCTTTCATGTCTTTTGTCTCCGAGTGAAGTACTTTTTAGCTTTTTCCTCGTCTTGTAGTTCTTTCCACTTGAATCGCATCATTCTTTCTTTCAAGTGCTCCAGTTAGTCTTTCTTACGCACCAAACAAAAATATTAAATGACACGCTCATGTTTTCCTTGGTAATTCTCTTCTATCTTATATTTTGGTCAGAGACCCTCCCATGGATACTCCTATGATAGGAAGGTGTGACAATTAGTGGATCATCTTGGGCTTCTTTATGCCATTCCCTGAGAATGTTTTGAAATGGGGTACATTGAGGTTTGGCAATTTTGAGATGAAATCTTTCTATGAACCTTTGGCAAGTGACAAAGGGTCTTCCTTTCCTTGGAGAGGGATTTGGGTTTGTAAGGCTACATCCAAGGTAGCCTTTTTTGCATGGACAACAGCTCATGATAAAATCCTTACCATCGATAACTTAATTAGGATGAACCAAATTCGTGTTAATTGGTGTTGTATGTGTAAGCAAAATGGGGAATCAGTTGATCACATCCTTACTCATTGCATGGTGACATGAGAACTTTGTGTCATGATTCTTGGCATGTTTAAGGAATTGTGGGCTATGTTACATAGACTCTCCTAAATTTGTGAAGTACATGTGTTGGACACTTACACTTGGGATTGGTTGTGTTATAAGTGTCTAACATACATGATTGTTAGAATCTTCCGATTCACGATTCAATTCAATACTGTTTCCAGCAAAACGATTCAATTCGTGCAGTTGAATCTTAAATGAGTGAATATAACTGACTCTAAAAAGCTTTGTTGAAATAAATCGTGAATCGTATGAATAGTAGGCTGTCTCTAAAAAAGAGTAGCATATAACTGACTCTAAAAAGCTTTGTTGAGTAGAGCTTAGTAGGTCAAGAAGCGATAGAGCATAAGAGAGTATAGTTGTAGTGGACAACAAATGTGCATGGCTGAGTGGACAATAAACATGCATGGTTAATAAGCTTTGTTAAGTCGTTTCAGCAATGCTTTGGTCCTAAATAGTGAATTAAAGAGTAGCATACAACTGACTCTAAACAGGTTTGCAGAGTGGAGCTTAGTAGGTCAAGCAGTGATAGAGCATAAGAGAGTATAGTTGTAGTGGACAATAAATGTGGGAGATAATAAACCACTATGAAAAAGTGGTGCAAGAAATATTGAAAAACTCGAGCAGAATTAAGTGCCATGCATGCATTTGATTGATTAAATCTGAAAAAGAAAAGCAGATCAATGAGAATTCTAAGCCTACCGCAAATTTCCTCAAAAGAATGCCAGTTGTGCAGAACAGAAGCTTTGTTCTCTCATTCCTTCAAAACCACAAATAACAAGAAAATAAATACACAAGTATTAGTAATACAATAGTTATACTTAGAAAGCAAGATAAAATTATATCCATTAAAACAAAGGAAAAGCAAAATGGTGAGGTAGGTCAAAAATTCTTCATGATTAACGCAATTTACATGAAAGAGAGACACCAAGGGGGTACCATCCATGTATATTGGTTTCATGTGAAGCCAAAATCCCTTGTACAGCTTAAGGTATCAAAATTATCAATAATATAGTAATATCCAAAAATGAATTAAAAAGGGCACAACCCTCCTAAGCCACAGTTGTACAAATGACTCAAACATCTACTCTTCGCTCAATGAATCAGAGCCTCCAAGTCCTCAAACGAACACCTATTATGTTCCTAAGTAAAGCCACCATATCAAGCACCAAGGAACCTCCATCCAACTCTTCGTCCTATACTCTAACTCCCTCTCCATCTATGAGACAAGTCCCTCTCTATGGTAGGTACACACTCAAGACATCATAAATAGAGATGGCACCAGTACCAACTCCTATAAATAGAGATGGTACCAACAGAAAGATTGGAGAAGCTTTAGTGAAACCCTTTGTAGGATGGCTTGGGTGATGAATTTAAATATTACTAGGTGAAAATCTATTTGGAAGATGGGGGCTACCACATGCAACACAACAATTTCAAAAAATGTAGCACGTGTCCCTAAGTGCCTAATGAATGCTTGAAACTAATTATTTTTTTTGAATAAAAAACCACGTTTGGCCATGTGTTCGACGAGTGTTAGTGTCCAACACAAACACTCCACATTCTTAGAATTGCCCATTCTTCTTAATTCATAACGTGGGGATTTGGGCTTTTTTGCTCCATTACATGTGCAAGAACGTGGAGTTTGTTCATCATATGCTTCTTCGTCATGATGTGGTTAAAGACATTTAGTTTGGTTTTCTTTTTGTTTGACATGCAGTGGATCATGCCTAAATCAGACCTCCAGTTAAATGAATATTGCCAGGCAAATACATTTTGAACAGGATGAAAGAAACCGTAGATGGTGGCATGTTGTGCTTGACGTGATGTGTGTGTTGAGGGAGGAGGATTAGCATATTTCTAAGGATTTAGATATGAATATACAAAGGATGAAAAGATATTCAATTTAGACTTTTCTGAATGTAAGGGATCTAATAACTGTAAGAGAAGGAAGACTAACGTACTCACCTTGCACTATCAAGACGAACTTGATAACCAACCAAAGAACCATTTGAACCGGGGGAAGATTCACATCGTTCATCAGCAACTCTTTCGGCCACGGAGATAGCCTACAAAATAACATAACAAATCTATACCTTTAGTCACCAAATGCCTTCAAATCTACAAAATAACAAGTTTAATATATGCATTGGCAAGACCGAAGTAGTATCATGTAATACAAAAATAAAGGCAATGGAAGTAACTTGCCATAACCTAAGCTACGCTTGGAGCTACAACATGTTGCTTTGAATAACCTTTATACACTTTACAAAGAAAATATATTTTTCATAGGTAACCAATACCGATAATGTCTACAATAGAAAATAATCTTCACGCAATAACAAAGGAGACTCATTAATTAGTACAATTCTTCATTTCAAGATGTCTCCAAGGATCAACTATTATTTGCTAAAGGTTGTCAATTGGGCCAGTCTGAACTGGGCGTAGGATTGACCCAGCTCAGCCGAAGTGGTATTGAGCTGTCTAGGACCAACTGTTGCACGTTCTCCCTTTGGCTAAACCACCATTTCAGGCTAACGAGTTCCCCCCCTTATAAGTTTTCCCTTGCCCTACTTATAAGGATAGATAGAAAAGGTTTGGAGATAAATCCTTCTACACATGCCATTTTAGGATTCAAAAAAAAGAGAAGATATTGGTTAATTTGTATTCTCTTCATAGGGTGTTTGAAATGGTCTCAGGACTTAAAATTAACTTGAAAAAAAGTACTATTGTGGGAATTAATTTTCTACAAAATAGGTTGGAAAAGTTAGTTGGGTTGTTGGGTTGTTGGGTTGTTCCATTTACTAGTGAAGTATCTTAGACTTCTTATGGAAGGGAATCCAAGGGATGAGGCTTTTTGGGCCCTGATTGTGAAAAGATTGAATGGTTGAAAAACAAGCATTAATCTCTAAAAGGAGAAGTTTACCTTGGTCCAGTCAATCTTGTATAGTATATTCCAATTCACAATTTGCCCTAGTTTAGTGTCTCGGTGGGCATCGCTAAGAAGATAGATAAAAACGATGAAAGACTTCCTGTGGGAAGAACATGGTAAAGGAAAAGAAGTCCATTTGAGTAGTTAGAATGTAGATAGAATGTAGAGGGGCTCAGTTTGAGTAATATTGTGGAAAAGAATATTGCAATGCTAGGTAAATAGTTATGGAGATTCCCTAGGCATGTAATTCTTTATGGCATATGGTTCTCAGAAGCAAATATGGATTACATATTTTGTTTTTGACAACTAGGTGTCCCGAAGCTAGTCCAAGACTATAGGTTTAGGGTAGCCACTTAGAACATAGGAACCTTAACTGGTAGGACGATGGAATTGGTAGATGTTATGATTAGGAGGAGAGTTAGTATAGCTTGCATACAAGAAACTAAGTAGACGGGAGAGAAAGCAAGGGAAATTGAGGATACTAGTTTTAAACTTTATTATAGTGGTAAGGATAGACGCAGGAATGGGGCAAGAATCATAATTGCCAAGGATCTTGTGAAAAGTGTGGTGGCGGTCACTAGGAAATGAGATAGGATTATGCTAGTTAAACTAGTTATTGGAGGGAATATAGTGAACATTATTAGCGCTTACGCCCCTCAAGTAGGGTTAGATGATCAGACTAAGAGGGATTTTTGGGAGCAAATGGATGAGATCTTACAGGAGATACCCATAGGAGAGAACTTGGTTATAGGTGGAGATTTTAATGGCCATGTGGACATAGATAAACTAGGTTATGAAAGGGTGCGTGGTGGATACGATTTTGGTGACAGAAATGAGGCTGGAGAGAGAATCTTAGATTTTGCGTTGGCTTCTGACCTGGTGGTGGCCAATACTATGTATAAGAAGAGGGAGGGGCATTTGATAACCTTTAAGAGTGGATTAGTTAAGAGCCAAATAGATTACTTCTTAGTGAGAAAAGTGGACTGCCTAAAATGCAATGATTGTAAAGTGATTCCTGGAAAGAGTCTGGTCTCTCAACATAGGATTTTGGTACTAGATTTATGTTTTAGAGGGCAATACCAAGCTAGGAAGGATGGTGGGCGTCGTAGGACAAGATGGTGGGACCTAAAAGGGGATAAACTAGAAATATTTAAGAATCGAATGGATAAGGAAGGTACTTGGAATTTAGAAGGTGATGCTAACACTATGTGAAATTCGATGGCCAATTGTATGAGGAGAATCTCAAGGAAAGTGCTTGGAGAGTCGAAAGGAACGGGACCCAGCTCTAGGGAAACTTAGTGGTGGAGGGAAGAGGTTCAAGCGGTAGTTAAGACAAAAAAAGAGTGCTTTAAAAAGTGGCAGAAGGATAGAACTGAGGAAAACCTTAAGAGCTATAGATTGGCTAATAAGGAGGTCAAGAAAGTAGTGAGAGAGACCAAGTTGAAAGTATATGATGACCTATACACTAGACTAGATAGTAAGAAGGGAGAGAAGAGGGTATACAAACTTGCTAAGATACGGGAGAGGAAAAAAAGAGATTTTAATCAAGTAAAGTGCATCAAGAGTGAGGATTCTAAGGTATTGGTGAAGGACGATGAGATTAAGGAAAGATGGAAGAATTATTTTGAGAAACTGTTAAATGAGGAACATGGAAGTACGACAATAGGGGAAGAAATAATCAGTAATACGATAAACCAAGACCATAGACTGATTTCCAACTGACATAACTTTGAAGTAGCAATTGCACTTAGGAAGATGAAATCAAATAGGGCTTTAGGACCCGATGGTATCCTTATTGAAGCTTGGAAGTGCTTCGGTAAAAAGGGAGTTACTTGGTTGACTAGGTTGTTTAGCAAAATTTTATTGACTAGGAACAAGCCAGATGAGTGGATGAAGAGTATTTTAGTGCCAATCTATAAGAATAAAGGTGATGTCCAGAATTGTAACAACTATAGAGGAATCAAGCTAATGTGTCATATAATGAAAGTGTGGGAGAGGGTGATGGAACGCCGATTGCGACACATAATAGAGGTATCAGAGAATCAATTTGAGTTTATGCCTAGTAGGTCAACAATGGAAACAATCTATCTTTTGAGGAGAGTAATAGAAAAGTATAAAGAAAAGAAAAGAGACTATCGACCTTGAGAAAGCATATGACAGAGTGCCCCGAGATATAAAATGGTGGGTGTTAGAGAAGAAAGGGGTGACAAAAGGCTACATTGACGTGATTAGGGACATGTATGAAGGAGTGGTGACCACTATTAGATTGTCAGCTGGAGAGACAAATGAATTTCCTATCACTGTAGGGTTACACCAAGGATCTACCTTAAGTCCTTATCTTTTTGCTTTAGTTATGGACGAGTTGACGATAAATATTCAGGATGACGTGCCATGGTGTATGCTTTTTGCAGACGATATTGTGTTAATAGATGAGACTAGAGAAGGAGTTAACACAAAGTTGGAAATTTGGAGAAAAGCACTTGAATCTAAAGGATTCCGGATAAGCAGAACTAAGACAGAGTACATAGAGTGTAAATTTAGTAACAGTAACAATTAAAGCAGAGGAGAAATGAAGATGGAGAACCAAGAACTGTCTAAGAGTGAACATTTTCATTATTTAGGGTCGATTATCACAACAGCGGGAGAGATTGATGCAGATGTGGCCCATAGATTTAAGGCGGGATGGTGTAAGTGGAGAAGTGCGTCTGGGGTATTGTGCGATAAACGAATACCCACTAGATTAAAAGGTAAGTTTTATAGAACGGCTATTAGACCAACTATGTTGGATGAGACGGAGTGTTGGGCAACCAAGAAACAACATGTAGATAAAATAAGTGTAGCTGAGATGAGGATTTTAAGGTGGATGTGTGGTAAGACTAAACAAGACAGGATTAGGAACGAGTGTATTCGGGAATGGGTAGGAGTAGCACCGATAGAAGATAAGTTGAGAGATATTAAATTGGTATTATATTAAATGCTTGTTTGTTTATTTTATTTTTATTTATTTTTTTTATTTTTAATATTCATTTGGACTACATAAATTGATATTTAGATAACAAACATAAAATTTACAATAAAATAGATTATACAATGCAAAACAAGGCTTACAAATTGGATCAGATAGGATCGGATTCGGAGCAGGATTCCACGATTCTATAAGATCCCATTGATGTTAAGGTGGATGTGTGGTAAGACTAGACAAGACAGGATTAGGAATGAGTGTATTCGGGAATGGGTAGGAGTAGCACCGATAGAAGATTAGTTGAGAGAGAATCATTTGAGATGGTTTGGTCATATTCAACGGAGAGCAACAGAGGCAGTAGTGAAGAGATGCGATGTTGTAACGGTAGATGGAAGTGTTGGGGGACGGGGTAGGCCTAGATTAACGTTGACTAGCGTTATAAATAGAGATATGAATCTACTTAATTTCACTAATGAAATGGCCTTTGATAGGGCCCCGTGGAGAAGAAGGATTCATGTAGCCGACCCCATTTGATGGGACTTAAAGGCTTGGTTTGGTTTGGTTTTGGTTTGTTTAGGTGTCCCAACCAAATTGCGCGCACCTTGACTAATCCTAGGACCCTGAAGTTAATGACCGGGTATAACCTCCAGTGACCCCTTGGGTGACTCGAACTTGGGTGACTCAAACTCGAGACCTTAGATCTTATCCTCAAGTCTTTACCGCTCGGCCATGGGGTTAAATATGGATTGCATATTAAAGGATGGAATTATCATGGGATTGATGGGGGAAACGCTTGCTCTATGGAAGTTTATTTCCCAAGGCTTATCACATTTTTCTTAGTTTACTCGTGTTGTTATGGGAAATGGGGTGAATATTCGGTTTTAAAAGGATGCTTAGAGGGAAAATCTTTCATTTGCTATTCTATTTCCACGTGTATTGTTTTTCTCAAACTCATAATTCTTTTGTTATCTCCATCTCTGATAAATTTTCCTGGAACTTCCATTCTTTTAAAAAATCTTAATGATCATAAATCCAATGAATTTGTTTCGTTATAAGCTATCCTTCCCTAAAAATGTTTCCTTATCAGGTGGTTATGATGACAAAGGTTGTGAGCTATTAATTCTTCTAGAGTTTTCTATTGCAAATACTTTTTTGATAAGATCAGTGATGATTCT